CAGGACTGACGGGCTCACGCCCGACCACCCCTCCTGGGGATACCGACGGTCGCGCGGCATCGGATGAGGTCTCACTCCGGGACGGACAATTGCCACCTGACGGTCCGCCACCCGGGGTTACCCCGTGTGAGGGGCCCGCTGCAAGGACGCGCGCAAAAAATGCGCAGACTGTTATGAGGCCGGAAGATGTGTACATAGGTTGTGTTCATCGTGTGTTGTGTGGGTGGTGTGTTCCCTGCCCAGTGAATGTACATATGTTGGGTTCATTGTGTGTTGTGTGGGTGGTGTGTTCCCTGCCGATTGAAATGTACATACGTTGGGTTCACCTGGTGTTGTGTGTATGGTGGGTTCCCTGCAAATTGTATATAGGTTGTTTTTTTTTACAGAATTCGTATTTATTCAAGGGGGGGTGCGTCGGGTTGTTTTCTCTTCTTGTTGTTGCATTTTGTTGTGTTCTTGTTGCTGTTCTTGTTATTGTTGAAAAATAGTGAGGCAGACGCGCGGTCAAGGTGTAAATGCACTTTTATTGTCATTTTTGTATGTTGGCAGCCGGGACGGCTGCAAGCTATGCGGGGGGGGGGGGGGGGGGGGGGTGATGTAGGGGTGTTAAAGAGAGGGTCCGTTATGCATGGCAGCCTATGGAAAACAAACACAGTGGGCGGGGCTACGTAAGTGCACGAGCAAGTGCCCTCTACGACGTCCGAGCCAGACACCCTGGGGGGGGCTGGTTCGAACGTTATGATCCCCCGGGGCCCCACCCCTCAGGGAGGGGTTGGGTATAAAAGGGGATGTTCAAAGGGCTCAAGGCAGTTATGTTTAAGCTAAGGGAAGAAGATTGAAGACGTCTTAGATAGAGCCCTGGACTCCCCTGGTTCGATGTCCTTTTCAGGGCCGGACAGGATTGAGCCAGCGGCGTGGTCCCGAAAGCCAGAGCCGGTGCTCTTGTAAGAGCTGGTCTGGAACTCCGGGTACCGGGCCCGACTTACCAGTGTCGGGCCAGTTAGCCTCCCCTAGCCCATTAGTGGAGGATTCGGGGCTAGGACAGAGTTAGCTAGGGGTGTATCCCGAGTTATACGGGTGAGGGGGCCGATACCCCCTCGAGTGTGTATATGCCCACTGTCATATTGTAAATAAACATACGTGTGCCTCAACCTCGGCGTCAAGCGTCCTCACCGGTATTTCACATCTATAGGATTCGCCCTTTCCGGCAAGCGCACAGGAGGTGTTCAGATCTTCAACCAACAAATACACGTGTTGTTGCAAGGCATCACGTCTGCATTAACCACACGTGCTTTGTGCTCTGATTACAATGTATGCATTGTCCTGGAAACTGACTGGCCTACGCCAAAAAGGATGAACCATATTATTTTTTAAATGCGCGTGTAACAGTTGTTTTCGTATGTATGTTAACGTTACGTAAATTATATGCTTACGATGACGGGGGCAGAGCCAACTTTACAAACGATGACGTACAAATGCAAACGAGCTCCTCAAAACAAAATGAAGAGTAGATTTGTTTTGTAATACTCAATCATTGTTTTGTAATACTCAATCATTGTTTTGTAATACTCAATCATTGTTTTGTAATACTCAATCATTGTTTTGTAATACTCAATCATTGTTTTGTAATACTCAATCATTGTTTTGTAATACTCAATCATTGTTTTGTAATACTCAATCATTGTTTTGTAATACTCAATCATTGTTTTGTAATACTCAATCATTGCCCTAAAATGTGACGAATGGTCGAATCCCCAGCAGGGGGTGGATGGAGGCCTACGGGGGATTAGAGCGGCGGGTCTCAGGGTGGGTCTCTCTGTGGGTCTCACTGTGGGTCTCACTGTGAGTCTCTCTGTGAGTCTCACTGTGAGTCTCACTGTGAGTCTCAGGGTGGGTCTCACTGTGGGTCTCACTGTGAGTCTCTCTGTGAGTCTCACTGTGAGTCTCAGGGTGGGTCTCTCTGTGGGTCTCACAGTGGGTCTCAGGGTGGGTCTCTCTGTGGGTCTCACTGTGAGTCTCTCTGTGAGTCTCACTGTGAGTCTCAGGGTGGGTCTCTCTGTGGGTCTCACTGTGAGTCTCACTGTGAGTCTCTCTGTGAGTCTCACTGTGAGTCTCAGGGTGGGTCTCTCTGTGGGTCTCACTGTGAGTCTCTCTGTGAGTCTCACTGTGAGTCTCAGGGCGGGTCTCACTGTGGGTATCTCTGTGGGTCTCTCTGTGGGTCTCACTGTGGGTCTCAGGGCGGGTCTCACTGTGGGTATCTCTGTGGGTCTCACTGTGGGTCTCACTGTGAGTCTCAAGGTGGGTCTCAGGGTGGGTCTCTCTGTGAGTCTCACTGTGGGTCTCACTGTGGGTCTCACTGTGAGTCTCAAGGTGGGTCTCAGGGTGGGTCTCACTGTGGGTCTCTCTGTGAGTCTCACTGTGGGTCTCACTGTGGGTCTCTGTGGGTCTCACTGTGGGTATCTCTGTGGGTCTCACTGTGGGTCTCACTGTGAGTCTCAAGGTGGGTCTCAGGGTGGGTCTCTCTGTGAGTCTCACTGTGGGTCTCACGGTGGGACTCTCTGTGAGTCTCACTGTGGGTCTCTCTGTGGGTCTCAATGTGAGTCTCACTGTGAGTCTCAGAGTGGGTCTCACTGTGGGTCTCACTGTGAGTCTCTCTGTGAGTCTCACTGTGGGTCTCTCTGTGGGTCTCAATGTGAGTCTCACTGTGGGTCTCAGGGTGGGTCTCACTGTGGGTTTCTCTGTGAGTCTCACTGTGGGTCTCACTGAGTCTCAGGGTGGGTCTCACTGTGAGTCTCACTGTGAGTCTCAGGGTGGGTCTCACTGTGAGTCTCAGGGTGGGTCTCACTGTGGGTCTCAGGGTGGGTCTCACTGTGAGTCTCTCTGTGAGTCTCACTGTGGGTCTCAGGGTGGGTCTCACTGTGAGTCTCACTGTGAGTCTCAGGGTGGGTCTCACTGTGAGTCTCTCTGTGGGTCTCAGGGTGGGTCTCACTGTGGGTCTCACTGTGAGTCTCTCTGTGGGTCTCAGGGTGGGTCTCACTGTGAGTCTCAGGGTGGGTCTCACTGTCTCTCTGTGGGTCTCACTGTGGGTCTCACTGTGGGTCTCACTGTGGGTCTCACTGTGGGTCTCACGGTGGGTCTCTCTGTGGGTCTCACTGTGGGTCTCACTATGAGTCTCACTGTGGGTCTCAGCGTACGTCTCAGGGTGGGTCTCACAGTGGGTCTCACTGTGGGTCTCACTGTGGGTCTCAGGGTGGGTCTCACTATGAGTCTCACTGTGGGTCTCAGGGTGCGTCTCAGGGTGGGTCTCACAGTGGGTCTCACTGTGGGTCTCACTGTGGGTCTCAGGTTGGGTCTCACTGTGGGTCTCACTGTGGGTCTCAGGGTGGGTTTCAATGTGGGTCTCACTGTGGGTCTCTCTGTGGGTCTCACTGTGGGTCTCTCTATAGGTTTCAGGTGGGTCTCACTGTGGGTGTCACTGTGGGTCCCCGGTACCACCAAGCGGTCCGCGCCGGTCCTCCAGGTGTGCTACAAACGCAGCTTGATCCGGAAATAATGACAATGCTCAAACCTTTTGTTTCGGACATTAATATTTCACTTATATTTAATTTTAAAAAATTAAGTTAGATAAACTACCCTGATTCAACTACCCCTATTCCTACGCTCTAAATGCCCCCCACCCCACCCATAAAAAAAAAAGTTCCGGTATCATGAATCATCTCGCATTACTTGTGCAGTATTTAGAGAGAGAGAAGTGAATACGTTTAGTCACCAGGGGGATGGGGGGGTTCTGGGTGGTGGTCCGTGGAAATGTTTGCATCGGCCAAAGTTTGAGAGCCACTGGGCTCGAGAAACGCACACGTGGCGGTTGTGAACGTCACTGCCATTGACCGTTAAGTTGATGCTACCCAGTAGCACCCGTTACACACAAAGTGCTTGCCACAAATAAGCCACAATAACTTGCCGATCTCGTCAAGGAGCATAAACCATCACCACGCGAACTCCGCTCATCCTCTCAGCAGCAGCGGCTTGTGGCTGGCCATCGAACAAAGATTGTGGCCACCCCATCGCGCGCTTCCAGATGCACTTCTGTGGCCGTCTGGAACGCTCTTCCAGTATTAGGAAGTCACCGGAGCTAGGCGCTTTTAAATCTAGATTGAAAGCTAATATCATTAGAGGTGCTTTTTGTGTTTGCTGTCCTTCCCCGCAGCTCTGATTAGCACGGTTGGCTATGTACGATGCGAAAGAAGTTCAACAAGCGTACGTAGTGAGCGATGAGCGTGGCGATGAACATCGGTGAAAAAAATACTCCTGCCGAGGACACGTCCACACATTCAACGCTCGCAAGTCTGAGACTCACCACGCAAGCCGCCACCAGCTGTGCTTCTCCTATTTACCCAGAATGCCATGGCACGCCGTAGACTCCCATAGGCCCTTCTCCTCAAACGGAGCTGTAATGCGCTGTGCGTGTATTTTATAGCGAAACATCAAATCTGATGATCAGCTTTGGCGTGGACTGTTTTTCGGATGTACCGGTTTGCCGAAATCAACATCAGTTGGCACGTGGTGTTCACGTGATATACACTTGTTTGGCTGTGTCAGGTGGAGGATATACCACACCATTTGGCTGTATACTTATGCAATCAAACCCAATTTATATTTATGAATCGTACGTGTTTAAAAATCTGCAATCAAACCCAAAGATCCTCCACGTATTCCAATCTCCTCCCAGTAATTTTTTTTTGTAAATATCTTTCTTAGAATGCTCAACAAATGTATTATTATTTTTCTCTTCCCTTAAGGAACTATTTTTTTTTATGTCCTGTGGCAAGTGAGTGATTGAAAATTTGGTTTATTCAAAAGTTGAACAGGGAGGAACTACAAAAACAGTAACATCGCCGAGAAACCTCGGCCAGCAGAAAAGTAGTGTTCTCCAAAAGGAATAAATTAATGCTCAAGAGCAGAAGCAAGTAAGTTGTGAATTTACTAAAACATCAGTAAGCAGCCTGACGAACTGCCTAATACAACGCTGCTTAGGTTTCGCAGCAAGCGACGAGTAGATTCCTTCATTCAGTAGTCTTCACCTTTCAAGATTTGTGACGAGCGTTAAGACGGGAGACTGAAACTCCTCAAATGAAGGAGGTCATGTAAAGCCTCGCAGTAGCAAAGGTACCATGTGTGTGTAAGCTGTAAGCATCCACTGCTATTGTTTCCGGGACAAAAAATAAACCCGATTTGGACATTAACAAACAAAACCGAGGCCCTGTCGCACAGGCTAAAGTTACCATACACATTTTCTCGTAAAAACCAATCAGGTAGAATTTATTACAACACGTGCGATTCCACGGACGTTACTGAGAGACCACACAAACGAGTCGTCAATAAATGAATGGGAAGATGCGATATTTCACGCGGTTGCAATAATCTTCCCACGCAGCTCCGTACTTCTTGCCACACTGGTTGGCATCCCGAGCCTCGCGGTGGACCAGCAGACCCAGGAAGTAGAGTACGTAGAAGTAGGGCAGGATGTGAGAAAAACCTGTACGAGAAGAAAACACAAATGGGTTACGGATGCCGTTCCACAGAGCGATGCACTTAATCCATAATAGTTTTTTTTGGGTTAGATCGTGTAAATAAAAATGTGTAATTGAACCCGCTGCCACCACTAGTAGGGTTTGTCACTTAAACAGAACATGCCAATTCACATGGACGTCGCCTTTCCCATTTGTCCCATTGGCGGTTATAGACATCCACAGGTGTTTAACACACTTAACTTCTAACTTAGCAATCTATGGAAAAACGTAATCAACCAGGCTAGGCGTTATTGTGTGTTGACCGACTCTCCGTGTTGCATTGCATTTCGAAATTTTGCTAGGTTATTTAATTTAGTGTGTCTCTCTCTCTCTCTGTCTCCCCTCATTTTTGTCGTTTTGTCGTTTTTGCGCAGGCTCAGTGCCACTCATTGACATGCTAATTTCTCTACCCCCCGCCTCTCTCTCCGCCCCCTCTCTCTCTATATTTAAGGCCTCGACACAGAAGCGTGGTTTCTCTGTGTGCCTATGTATGTGTCTCTCTCTATGTATCTCTGTGATATCTCTCTCTGCTTATATGTCTCTCTCAAATTTAGCAATCTCTGGAAGAACGTAATCAACCAGGTAGGGTGTTGACTGTTGTGTTAGCCGACTCTCTGTGTTGTATTACATTATATTTCTAAGTTTACTAGGTTTGTTTTCTATTTCATTTATACCTGATGATGATTGCTTGTGTTGCAATCGAAACGTTGTATGCCATTATTTAATTTATTATTTTCTCTTTATACGTGACTTTACCGAAAGAACCAAAGAGTAACACGTCGGCCTTTCGTGAGCCAATATCATCCTGAATGGAGCCTCATCAGGCCGTTGTTGTAATTACCGGCGAAACATGACGGTACTCGAATTGTGAATGTTGTGGTGGGTTTACTCTCCAGCACACAACCGGTTAGTGCTGTACTCGTAACGAATCGGCACGTTGTGTTTACGTGACGAACCTTACTAATTGGCTATGTCGGGTGGTGGTGGTGGCGGGTTTAACGACACATTTATATTTACGTGATCTAAAAAATAACTGAAGGTGTTGATGCCTTCAGGGAAGTCGTGTGCTGTATACGCAACTGCGCACAATTCTGTGAGTCACTTATAACTGCTTTGCCGTTACTTATTGCCAATTATGGACTATTGCCCTATCATCTCATAGAGTCCCTGGTACATAATAACATGCTACACAGTGGCAGTGGGGGTCACAAAATTCCGATTTATTACAATAAACCCCAATGATCCGATCAAAATTATGGATTTCGATCGGATCATTGGGGGGGGGGGGGGGGGGCACGTGCCCCACCCCACTAGTGGCACCCGACTATCCAGGCCCAGCTCGATCCGCCAGGGATCTGCGATCTTGTCACAGGCGCTTCTCACTTTGTTACGTGGGTCCACAACATCCCCAGGAGCCTGCGGAGGACAAAGGGCAATCTGGGGCAATGGACGGGCACGTGCTACAAGAAGCTCAACACACCAAGGGTTGAGAAGCGCCGCCTGAGCAGAGGTCGCAAACGGGTTTTGATTCCTTACCCGTACCCGTACCCGGCCGCACCAGGGTCGCAAATGGGTACCCGTACCTGTACCCGGCCGGGTACGGGTAGCCGTTCCCTACCCGTACCCGTACCCTACCCGAAATGACTCACGGCCTACCCGTACCCGTACCCGGCCGCACCAGGGTCGCAAACGGCTACCCGTACCCGTACCCGGCCGGGTACTCGACGTGTACTCGGCAGGAGTAATTTGTTAACCGACGTTAATCGCCATGCTCATCTCTCCGTATGTACGTATGTTGAACTTCTTTCGCACCGTACGTAGCCAACCGTGCTTATCGGAGGTGCGAAATTATCTCAGAAAGGGGCTCCAAATGTTGCAGAAATCCCATTCTTTACCATTTCTATCCGAGGTGTTCCAAGGAGGAAGCAGGAGTTGATATGAGGAGCTGGCCCGTGTGTTACCGATAGGGCTTCATGCGACTCCCAGCTGCACAGAATGGTTTTCTTGGCAGTTTATTCAGAAGATTTTGAGTCGCGTGTCCCGATATATAGAGATACCTGCTGGCCTCATGCCCAACAGTGATGTTTGTATGTTGGGGTAGACCGTATTGGTCACCCCGTGCCCCTAAAAAATCTCAACGTCCATCCCACAAAGTCCCATCACAAGGGAGAAACACAAACAAATAGACAAAACTAATGTTGCCCGCATTGAAACGGCTGTACGCCATATGGACCTGAAAACTCAATTGCCCTGTTCACAAATACGGCTAAACCGTGTGGGTTGACAGGTGTGTGCACGTGCTGGAGCAAGAGGAGGCTGTCACGTGGCTCTGTGGCTACGTGGGCTGACGTTCGCTCACGTAACAATGACAAACACACGCGTTTATCTTTCATGCATACCTGGTGCTCTAATTGTACGACAGTCACGTGTAAAAGCATTCAATAATAATAACAAACAAAATCACAATTGATAACAAAACGTCTTGTACGTCTGCCCATTTTCAGAACGCACCTTCCTAATTTTGACAAGTTTCCGGAGGGGGAGGGGGGCGCCTGGGGGGAACTCGCAACATTCACTGCGAAACAGACGGCGCACGGCACACGGTGGCACGATTACGGTTGTTACGCACCGCAGCAGTAGTAGTACCCAGGGCGGCCGCTGGATTCCAACCGCGAGCCTCTACGGCGCTGTGCCGCTGGGCCGTGTAAGTAAGCGCGGCGAGTGGTAGCGACGCTGTACGTAATAGTGGGGGTAAATTACCGTCCGCTCTCCCATAATACGGCAGGAGCAGCTGCGCTCCTGAAGAACACCGCGTTCAGCATCCAGCAGCTTTCATACTCTCTAGACTTAGTTCCCCATCCACTCGATCGCGTTGCGGATCCAATTCGCGTCCGCGTTGTGAAAAAATAATGCGCTCCCCAATTAGACTCATCGTCGCGTTACTATCCCATTCGCGTGTCATGCCAAGCCGCGCTGGGGGAGAACGGTCCATGAAACAGCAGCAGTGTAAGCGGAGAGCGAAGCTACTGACCGCATGGTAGCGACCAGGACAGGGCCATGACGAGGTCTCCCAGGTAGTTGGGGTGCCTGACGAGGCCCCACCAGCCCGACACGAGCAGCCGCTTGCCACTTGCCGTGGGGATGCTCTTCAGGTCTGAAGCGCAGAAGCGAACAGAGGTGAGGTGGGGGGTGAAACGGTCGCGTTGCCACGACCCCCGCGCTCAAACCAGCAACACGGCGGTGCACATCAATACTGACTGCCCCCCAGAGGTCGCAATCGGGTACCCGATACCCGTACCCTACCCGATACCCGGCTACCTGTACCCGGTCGGGTACGGGTAGCCATTTGCGACCCTGGTGCGGCCGGGTAAGGAGTCAAAACCCGTTTGCGACCTCTGCTGCCCCCCTCCCCCCCGAGCTCGCAGTGGAAATTCCACATTCCGAAGGCTGATGCACCAGTCTCTATTATGTGACAGCTGTTGAAACTGTCAAGGTGCATCCCTGCAATTTCCTTGTTCCTGCCACTACTCGTCTGATTCTTTACCAGACTCTTTCCTTCTGCTGGAGGAATCCGATTAGCTATAAAGCTCTTCATCACAGATGTCCAGTCGTGAAGGACACCTCCAACTAATAAAGGCTCTGGAGAGCCCCTGCCGAAGGGCATTTGTGGCCGACAAGGATGTCTTATCCTTATACTAGATCAGGCTTCAGGAGAGAGTTC